TTTTTATTTATTTGATTATTTATATATTTTAATTCTTATCTTTTTGTTAAAAAAAAAAAAAAAAATTCAATTTTTAGAAATTAAAAAAAAATTAAAAAAAAAATTAAAATTAAATAAAAAAAAAAAAAAATAAATGTTAATATTTATATTTTTAAAATTTAAATATAGCTTTATTAATATTTACTAATAATTGACATTTTATAATATAGTTTTTTTATTTTTTTAAAATATAGTTTTTAATTGAAATGAAAATTAAAATTTTTTTTTTTTTTTTTTATATTGGTAAATTTGTGAAAGATAATTCAAAGAAATAACTTATAACAAGTTGATTTTATAAAAATTTTTATAAACAAATAAATTTTAATTTATATATATATATATTAATAAACAAATAATAAACAAATTAAACATCAAAGCATTATTAGTATCATAAAAACCTGTAAATTTAAAAGCTACTTTTATTTTTATTACAATTTATTTAAAATAATATATATATTTTGAATTTAATTTTTTTTATTAAAATTAATCATTAAATAAATAATCTAATAATATTATTTTTTTAAATTTAGTTGTATAAATTATAGAAATAATCAATTTAATTAATTTTTTTATTATTTTTTTTAAAAATCATTTTTTGCAATGAAAATGTTAGTTTAATTTTTTGGGTATCATTTTAAAGAGAATTAAATAGAAAATTTAAATCAAATAAAAAAAATGATCAATCTATAATATAAAAAAAAGATATAAAATAAATTATTTTTTTTATTTTCCTTATATTATTATAAAAAAAATTATATTTTTCAAAACAGTTCTATCTTTTTATTAAATAAATTTTTTTTGAATTTATTTTTTATTTTTTATTATTTTAATTTTTATTTTTTTTATTGTATTAAAGAAATTGATTTTTATTTTTTTTCAATATTATTTTATTCATATACAAATAATAATATAGCTTTATTTTTACATTTTACAACACAATAATAATTTTTCCATATAAATTTAATTTCCTAACAATAATAATAATATTAAATATATTTATTTGAAACATTCATTATTATATATTAATATAAATATGGATTTTTCAAATAATAACCTTTTTATTTATACTTTAGAAGTATTATTAATTGTTTTCTTTATTGTATTATTAGTAAAATACAATATAATAAAAAAAAAATTAAAACTACAAAATAGCAATAATAAAAATAAAAATAATAATAATAATAATAAAATTAATAATAATAAAAAGAATAATAATCATTATCTACTAATAGTATTAGTAGAATATTTATTTTTAATAGTTAAATTTTTAATAGTTTTTATTTTATTTTATTCTGTATATTTTACATTTAATATAGTATTAAATGATGTAAATATTATATATAATCATCTCTCTTCAGGTATTTATAATTTATAATTTTATAAATCAAAACATTTCTTTAAACTAATTCCAATTTTATTTTTAATTAAATTCAAAAAGAAGAGAAATGTAATGAATGGGAGCTCTGTATGGATAGAGATCCTCCAAAATCACTAAAGTAAGTGTTTAAATCATTTTATATGTACATTTTTTGATTACTAATTCTTTTAAATATAGATTTAAAATTTTAGCAGATGTTTTGGAAAGCTCCATTTCAAGTTTGTCATATAAAGCTATGGCATTTTTATTTTTTATTATTTGGATGATGGTTTGGATTCCTTGCAAAATTTTTGATAACTTTAGAAGTTATTTAAATTCAAATCTTCACCACCAAATTGAACCACAACCTAAGGCAATCTTTGTCAATGTAATTATTAAAAAAGCAACAATTAAGATTTACAAAAACTAACCTATTTATATTATTAACTTTAGAATTTATTTATTATGGAAAAAGATTTTAAAAAACTTAGACTTCTAGAATAATTCTATATCATAATAAATAAATAATAAAATATTTTAAATTACCTTAGGACAACTAGACTAAATTATGATACAAAATAAACAAGACATTGGTAAAATAAAAAAAAAAAAAAAAAATAAAAAAAAATAAAATAGTAATAGTAATTATAAGATCATTAATTTAGTAATGATAATCAACCAAAGTAGATAAATAATAAATAGCATCCTCACCGGCATTCATCTTGGTCCTCATCATCAGCAGCATTCATCAGTATTCGTCTTGGTCCTCGGCATTATCATCATCATCAGCATCCTCACCGGCATTCGTCTTGGTCATCAGCATTATCATCATCATTCATCTTGGTACTCAGCATTATCATCATCATTAGCATCCTCACCGGCATTCATCTTGTTCCTAAGCCTTATCACCATCAGCATTCATCTTGGTCCTCATCATCAGCAGCATCATTCAGCAGCATTCATCAGCAGCATTCGTCTTGGTCCTCAGCATTATCATCATCATCAGCATTCATTTTGGTCCTCATCATCATCAGCATTGATTACCATCAGCATTCCTCATCATCAGCATCAGTTTTCATAAGCAACAGCATCATCAACCCTAAAGCTTTAGAAAAGAACTTTTAGTAAATCAATAATAATTAATAATTTTATAAAAAAAAAAAAAAAAAAAAAAAAATAACAATAATAATAATAATAATAGAATCAAACACTCACATATTTCAATCTATTTGATGGAAGAAATACATTTTCCCTGGCCAGGCAAATATGTTGGAACATCAAATGATTTTAATATCGAAAATATTTTCAGTATAAGGATACTAAAACATCATTAAATTTTTATATAAAATATAATAAAATTTTATTTTTATAAATAATATGTTTATTTTTTACCATTTTCCTTTTTATTAAATATAGATCTTCATGATAATTACAATTGATAATATTGTATTGAATAAACTTTGTGATTCGCTAAATTGTGTTTTTGAATAAATTTGTTTAAATAAATGTTTCAAATAATGTTTCAGAAGAGTTATTTATAACAGTACCCTCAAATAAATATGTAAACCCCCAACTTTATTAAGATGGAAATGATAATTATTGAATTAATAAGTAATATTTAATAGTAATCATTTCGATCTGTAACTCTGTCAAGTTGCTCCTTTAAATATTTGTGTATATCTCAGTAGGGGAATAATACCTGATTTTATTGTTTTCTTATTTCATATTCATTATAAGCTGTCTTTGGATGTTGTCTGTGATTCTTTCAAAAATATACCCCCAATTTTTAAATATCAACACATTATCACACCCATTTTTAAAATAAATATTTATTTTTAAAAATCTAATAATTTTTTAAAAAAAAATTTTTTATTTTTTTTTTTATTTTTTTAATTTTTTTATTTTATTTTTTTCAAAACACAACAAACAAACACATAAATAATTTTAATAATGTAAACTATAGCACATACAATAAATAATAATAATTTTAACATTACTGAAAATATGTTTAAACCTTTCGAGAATAAGTAAGTAAATGAATAAAACAACAATAACAGCAACAACAAACCCACATACATATAGAAAATGGCATCTTTGAAGAAATAGAAACAGAATTACTGACATAAATTAAATAATCTTCTATTAATATTCAAAAGATAGATTTACCAATTAAAACCATTCAATACCCTTACAAGATCTGCTGTCGTGGATTTTAATCAATTATATAAATATCTGGCCTAATAAATCCAACTACGAAATATTACTTCTATTTTATAATAATCTCAAAACCAATATCAATAACTATCATAAAAAGTCACAAAGTCAGAAACTCAAATTCTTTCAAAGTCTTTCAATCTCGAGTAAAATTCAAATCATGCAAAATATATAATAAATCAAGCCTACCCGAAATCTTTTCAGTATTAAAATAAATTTAATAATCGAGCACAATATTTAAATACCCCAATATTAGTATTTACTCAGTAAATCAATAATCAGTCCTCGGTTATTAGGAGCCTTTAAGAAAGTTAATATTAAAACATTTTATAAAAATCAAAAATCAATATAATACCAAAGGCAGTCCTCATTAATAAATAACAGTCACACCCAAACATCACCAAATTCGACTTATTATCATATAATTAATAAAACACCATCCCCCAATATTCAGAAGAAATCAATGGTATAGAATCAAAGAGATTGAACATGAATTTGAAAGTTATAGAATTGTAAAAGGAAATTTAGCAAAGAAAAAAAATTTAGAAACCAAACAGTATATAGAAAGTCAAAGAAATAGCAGTAGATCCAAGAAATCTCGATGACGAGCTTCCAACTAAAATGATACAGGTTGAACAACTTAGAAGGATAATTAGGTATTTTCAAAAATGGGTAATGAAATATCAATAAAGAAAACATTCAATCAAAAACAACATTCAACGCTCGAAGGATGTTATTTATAAAAAAATAAATTTTAAAAAAAAATAAAAAAATTAAAAGTGTATATTTATTTTATTTATTTTTTATAACTAATTGTTTATTTTTCTATATTTTGATTCTAAGATTTTGTTTTCTTGGAGCAATTCTTTGATTTATTCCCATTTAATGAAAGAATAATAGGTCTGATTGTATACAACTAATATTGATTAATAACAATTATAATGGTTAGTAATTACGTTTATATCTTTTTTATTTCCTCTACGCACCCATATGGTTGGTTATTATTATTTTATTATAATTTACTTACTTTTGATTCCATTAAAGTATTGTGGTTTTGAGTGAATTAAATGATTGTGATATTTTGAAGAAAAGGTGAATATAGTTTACATTGATGGATACCTCGAAGATTGTGGCGGACAAAAACCCAAATTTTTGGTTAGATTACAAATTGAGACTTAAAAATAATGATTAGAACTAAACTAAATAAATGTCAAAATTAAATATTAGTGATTTTATATTTATATATAATTAAAATTATTCTGGTTTTATCATAATGGTTACCTTTCTAATATTTAGAATTTCTTTGTTCATTTTTTGAAGAGTTGAACTAAATGTTGCAATATTTGTTACTAAAAGTTGATAATGATGTGAATATTTCTGAATTCCTTTTTGAAACTTTTTGAATGATGTGGTTAACTATTTCAATAACATCGATTTTAAAAAATGAAACATTGAATGAAACAATTTAATTAATAACTTCATCGCCATCTATTTTATAAATAGAAAATAAATGAAACGATTTAATTATTAATTTCATCGCTATCTATTTCATGATTAATCGAGAACCATATAGTCAACAGATTCTTCAGACTCGGATCTCAAACGAGAAATTTATATAATAAATGTTCATCTGAAAGATCCTCATCATCATCGGAATAGGTATGATCATCGGAATCATCGTCGGAATTTGATTCATTTTCGGAATAATCAATGGAATATTATCTAAATTTTTTAGCCAATAAATATAATTGAATATCATATATTGATCTTGCAACACAACCCTCTATCTGCAATTAAAAAATGAAAAAAATCAATATAAGTTTTATTTATTATGTATAAATATAAATGTATGAATAACTTACTTGAATAAAGCTCTATTTATAAATGACAGTCTATTGTATTGAAAATTTTAAATTTTAAATAGTTTGTTCAAATTTGGAAATAATGTAATCTAATTTAGAATTTGGGTTTGTTTTTTTGAGACATCATATACACCATTTGATTGAATTGAGGAACTTCTAACGAATTTGATACATTTCTTCTTGCAATTTTCTATATTCCTTTAGAAATTCTTCAGTTGCCTTTTCTTCTTCACTCAATGGAGCTGGTTGAAGACTTAAACTTCCCAATGAATTGACCAAATCCTCTAATTGGTCAGAATCATTGTGTTGGTAGTCCTCTTTTTCCCAACTCTCTTCTTTGTTGATGTATTTGTTGAATTTGTTTATTTTGATTTTACCATAACAAAATGCAAAATAAAAACCAATGGAACCAAAAAAAAAATAAAAAAATATATATAAATAAAAAATAATCCATTTTATTATACAAAAATAAATAATTATTTATAATTAAAAAAATACTAGTAATTATTTACAAATAAAAAAAAATATTAAAAAAAAAAAAAATTTTATATTTAAAAAAAAAAATAAAAAATAATTAAAACAAAAAAAAATAAATAAAAAAATATTAAACAAAAAAACAATAGTTTTATAATAATTTATTACATGAACTTCATTCAATAGAATAGATAATTCAAATTTGAAATTGAGAATCCCTTTTTGACATCACTAAAGGCAAAAATTCTGCATGCATTGAAGGTTTTATTAGTTACAGAAATTGTTAAATATCTTTTAACACTTTTTACGTTTTGAATCCTAAAGGTTTCATTTAGAACAGTACTGTTTGAAAATGTCATTGCAAGTTTTTCCTTTAATGCAGTCTCTCTTTCAAATGAAAGATTTTTAATGTTGGTTGGTAAGAATGATGACATGATTGAGGCTATTTGTAAATTGAACCCTGAAATATCTGTTTTTGAAACCATTAAACTACATAAATCAAAAAAACCAGCTATATGTTGGATCGTGCTTGGGTTATATTCTAAGACCAATGTTGATAATCTAGTGTCTACCAATGATAGGCATGGATTTTGAGACCTTGAAAAATTAATATAATGATGGGAGTCTTCAAAGCTTCTAATTTGATTGATTTTTTCTTTTTCGCTTGTTATTAAAGCAACTGATTGCTCGTTTAAAGACTATTTTTTTTTAAATATTAGATTGATAATTTTTAAAAAAAAAAAAATAATATTCATAAAATTGCAGTATTTGATAAAAAATTTTAAAGCTCGCTTACTGTTATTTGTTTTATTATTATATGAATAAATAAATAAATAGTTTAAAATAATAATTATAATTAATATCTATGCCATTCACCTGTCAGTTTTTTAAAGAGGTCCACCTTCAATAATATATGATTTGATAAAACCCGGGCATATATCCATATTTTAAAGAGAAATGGTTTAAAAAACGGAGGATTACCACGATGCCAAACACTATGTGAATGTCACACCCCTGCTCCCTTAAGGGCCATTAATAAGGTTACTTTGACATAAATAAATAATTAATTATTATTTTATTTACTATCTCATTTATTTGTTATAATATTTATTATGATTGATTTTTTTTTATTTTACTTTATTTTATTTTATTTTATTTTATACAAAAAAAATTTATTAAAACTATTTTTAAGAATATTAAAAATATAAATTTAAAAATGTGTTGTAAAATTATGGGGCATCTTTTTATAAGATTTTTTAAAACACACTTTACCGCCATATTTATTTTTAAAATTCAAATAATTTTTTTTAAATTTTTCCCAATTTTTTTATTTTATTTTTATTTTTATATTTTTCAACACACAACAAACACACCCACACAAATAATTTTAATAATGTAAAATATATATTACACCAAAAATAATAATTTTAAAATAACCGAAATATGTTTAAACCTTTTTAGAACAATTTAGAAATCAATACATTATTTTAAAAAAACAAAAACAACAATAATAATAGAATAAATCAAGCTAACAACAACAATTTAATAATGTAGATTTTGTCTAAATAGCTAAAGGTGAATATTAGAATATGACCTACCCGAAATCTTTTCAGTATTAGGTTCTGCAGCATCATCAAAACAGGATTTTAGCAATCAATCAAATAATTCAAAAAAACAATCAAGTATATATTTAAATATCGAATTAAATAAATTTAATAATAGAGCACAATATTTAAATACTCCAATTTTAGTCATCTATATATAAAAAAAATAATAGTAAATCAATAATCAGTCTTCAGTTATTAGAAGCCTTAAAGAAAGCTAATATTAAAACATTTATAATAATTAATAGTTAAAAATCAATATAGTGCCAAACCAAAGCAGTCCTCATTAAGAAATAACAGTCACACCCAAACATCATCAAATTCGACATTTTAGCATATAATTAATAAAACGCCTCACATCACTACTGCAGGGTGCTGCTGCAGGTGGTGCTACTGTGGGTGGTGCTACTGAAGGTGGCACGGGTGGAAAAGGTGGTACAGGTGGCACATCAACAAGTGGATCAACCAGCATATCAACAGGTATAATAGCAGGTAACTGTTCAAGGTTCATCAGATAGCAGATCATCATCAGCTAGTGGTTCATCAGATAGCAGTTCATCAGATAGTTAATACCACAATATCAACAACAACTACAACCAGAAACAATACCAGTTATACCAAGGCATTCAGGATAAATTCAGTAAACAATTTTTCAACACTGGTCATGATACTTCAGTTGGTATATCAGAAGTTTCACTGAGTTCTCGTACTGATATAGGTGATCTATCAGCATTGGTTTCTAAGCAAACTGATGAATGCGAAGAGAAAGCAAAACAAATAAATCCATTAAAAGCGGTAGCATCAAACTCATCAAAAATCTAATGTTGGTAGTTCAAATGCAGGTGCTAATAGTATTAGCTTTATAGTTCACCAATCATCTCATTGAATACTTCAGAAGAAATCAATGGTGACAAAATCAAAGAGACTGAACATGAATTTGAAAGTTATAGAATTGCAAAAGAGAATTTAGAATAGCAATGGGAAAAGATTTAGAAACCAAACAATTAATAGAAAGTCAAAGAAATAGCAGTATTTTTGTTGTAGATCCAAGAAATCTCGATGACGATCTTCCAATTAAAATGATGATACAGGCTGAACAACTTTGAAAATTAGAGATTTCTGACTCAAAAGGTTCATTTAGAAACAGTTAGAAATGAAAATACTCAATTATTAAAATTTAAAATTGAAAATATCGAAGAGGAGATAAGACAAAGAATGAAAGAAAAGTTAAACATTTTAAGATAAATAGATAAATAAATAGATAATATAGCAACTACTCAAGAGAAGCAATCTAAATTAGCAATCAATCATTTAAACCGTGTTACAAGAGTTTTTAGACGTGGCAGTGCTAATTTAACATCAAATAATTTAAATCCTCACCAAATTTTTTAGTTAGTGCCAATAATAACAATGCCATTGGTGTTCGAATTAAACCAAACCAAAAATTAAATTCATTATTTTAAAAAAAAATACACCATCATCATCAAATAATTTAATACCACCATCACCATTTAATAAAAATAACAACACCTCACCATTGGTACATCCACAACATTTACCTCCATTACCAGTTTGGAGATATAAGTATATATCTGCAGTTCTTCCAACTTTACTTGCCAAACCATCTTCTAGAGTACAGAACTAATAAATTCAGTGAACTAAAATAAAAAAAATAAAATTATATAAATAATAAAATAAATTAAAATTAGATATAAAATTAAATTAGATTTTAAAAATAAATAAAAGGAAAAAATAAATGGTTTGATCATCATCACCAATTTCGATAAAAAAGATGATGGAATCAATTTAAAAATACAAAGAAAAGAAAATAAAATAAAATTAAATATAATTTTTTTTTTAAGCAGAACATCGCCAGTTCTGCTTACCAAAAATGTTATTTTTTTATTTATTTTTTTTTCACAGATAAAATATAAATATAATTACTCGAATCAGTTTAAGGTAATATATATAAATATAATTTATTTTAGAGTAAATTTAACAGCATCTTCTACGACGATTACCAATATCAATATCAATATTGATAATGTTACTGTTACCATCACTGCATGAATTAAAACATGGATTGAAACCACTTAAGCTATTACCGAACCAAACTGATTCATTATCAGAGAATGAGACACTTCCAGATGAGCTTAACATTGATTTAGATGAGGCACCGTTAACTGGGTTCATTGATGAAAGAGATTCTATGAAAAATTAAAAAAATAAAATTAATAAAAAAAAAATAAATGTTAATATTTATATTTTAATTTTAATTATAGTATTAATATTTACTAATAATTGACATTTTATAATATTGTATTATAGTTTTAGAATGAAAATTAAATTTTTTTTTTTTTTTATATATTGGTAAATTTGTGAAAGATAATTCACCCAAAGAAATAACTTACAACAACAACTTTATTTAAACAAATTTAGTTATAAAAAATATAAAAAAAAAATAATAAAAAGATTAAAATTTATTTTTAATGAGCATCAAAGCTTTATTTGTATGAAAAACTTGTGGATTTAAAATTTATTTAAAAAACACATATTTTTATTTTTTTTTATAAAACTAATCATTAAATTAATAATATAAAATTATTTCTTTAAATTTAGTTTCAAAAAACATACAAATAATCAATTTAATTAATTTTTTTTTTTATTTTTTTAAAATCATTTTTTTACAATGAAAAAGTTAGTTTAATGTTTTGGGTATCATTTAAAAGAGAATTAAATAAAAAATCGAAATCAAATAAAAAAAATGATCAATCTATAATATAAAAAAAAGATATAAACTAAATTATTGCTTTACAATTATTTTTTTAATTATTTTCTTTATTTTATAAAAAAAATTAAACAATTCTTTCTTTTTAATAAATAAATTTTTTTAAATTTATTTTTTATATTTTATTATTTTAATTTTTTTTTTTTTTTATTGAATTAAAGAAAACATTTTTTTTTTTTTTTTATTATTTTATTCACACAAATAATAGCTTTATTTTTACAATTTTTCAACACAATAATATTTATTTTTTTTATAATTTTAATTAGATAATATTCACACATTTTTCAATATTTTATTTTTTCAACTTTTTCTTTCTTTATTATTTTATATATTTATATATTTTATATATATTTATATAAAATCAACCTAAATATGATAGTAAATAAAATTTTATTTCTATCATTTTTAGTTATATTTTTATTTTTTTTATCAAGATTTACCCCAGAAACACCCCAATTAAATCCAAGTTCTTCACTTTGCATTCCAGGTACTAAAATAAACTATAAATTATAAACTAAAAATAGATATTGGATAATAAATATTAACCTTAATTTTTTTTATAGATATTCCAAACTCAACTCCAACTTATATTTGGTCACCAAGTAATCCAAAAGTTGGAAATACCAATGGTTCAGGTAATTTAGTAGCAATTGTTCAAGAACCAGACCAAATTGTTTTTTCATCATCTCAAGTAGGGATCGAAGTTGGTAAAAAATTAGTACTCTCAACTAAATTATTATCAAAGCATTTACCAAAAGGAGTTCATTTCGAATCTTGCTCAATTAATAATTTAGAATGGAAGGTTAAAGATGATTCCATTTTCAAAATTTTACCACATGAAAAGGTTGACCAACAAAAGATATCAAGTGACATATGTTCATCTCGTGAATTTTTGGCTCTAAAAGAAGGCTCAACTGTTATTTCAGTTCAATACAATGGAATGAGAGAAGAAATTCGTATTTTTGCTTCTCCACCAGCTGATCAAATAGAATTTTTATTAAGTTTAGGTTCATCGGCCGAGGTTTCTTTCTGTGGTGGTAAAGAGACATGGCATTTACAACCAAAGATTTATTCCAAATTTATTTCATCAGATAATAAAGAACAAAACTCACTCTCAATCACTCCAGGTGATAATAATTCATTCAAAGTCACTTGTCAAAAACAATCAAATGATCCACAAAATGTTATTGTGACTATTAGAAACAAAAAGAGTATTAGCAGCCCATTACCAGAAGCCCATTCAATTAAAATTCCATTCTTTTGCCGTCAACCATCATATGTTCATATTCAATTTATAAAATTACCAACTGAAGAAGAAGGTAAACAAAAATCACGTGAAATCAGTCGTTTAAATATTCATAATAATAGTGATTTACCATTTATTGCTATGAATTCTATTGCTAAATATGAAAAAGGTAGTACCAATTATCCAATTATAGTTGCAGATTCCATCTTTATTGCCGCCTTTGCTATCGGTTTTTTTGTATATAAAAAACATATGTTTATTTATATATCAAATTTATCACAAATATCAACCTCTTTATTAGAATCATTCCGATCTCCATTTCCATACTCTTCTTTAGCATCACCAAATAGTTCACTATTTAATTATATATCAAATCCAAATTTATCACAAATATCAACCTCTTTATTAGAATCATTCCGATCTCCATTTCCATACTCTTCTTTAGTATCACCAAATAGTTCACCATTTATTATTTATCAACAAAAAAATTTAAAAAAAAAAAAAAATTTAAAAAACCAAAAGAAAAATAAAATAAAGAACAAAACTCACTCTAATTATATTTGATCATAATAAAGAAAAATAAAATATTTCATAAAAAAAAAGAAGATCCAATCATAGTTAAACCAATAGTATAATTATAACTAAATTAATTATTTATGAATTTAATAAAATGGCCATTTATTAAATCAATATAAATAATAATTTAAAGTTTTAAAAATTAATTTAAATAAACAATATTTTATAATAAAGAAAAATAAAATATTTCTTAAATAAAATTATTTTTTTTTATTTATTTGTATATTTTTAATGTTATAGAATTTTATTTAATTTTAAAATATAACTAATTTATTTATTTGTTTTTTGATCGTATTACTTTGTTGTTTTATTAACATTATATTTTGATAATTACTTTTAATATATTTTCAATAACTGAGTGACTTATAACTATTACTTTGTGTTTATTATTATATTGAATGGTATAGAAATTAAAATCTATTGAAATTAAATTGTAAAAATATCACAGTAGGGATATATTACCTTATTTAATGCTTTATTTATACCATTTACATTATATTCTGTCTTTGGTGTTGTCTGATGCTCTCTTTGTTGCTGCAGCATAATGGTGGTGTTCAATAGTTGCTTTCTATTATTACAAAACATTCCTATTATTAAATAGTGTAATTGGGGTATAGTATTATATGATCTTTTTATGATTATTAAACAGTTACCCCAATTTTGGTCAATATCAACACGTTACGTCCATTTTAAATTTTTAAAATAATATTTATTTTTTAAAAACCAAATAATTTATAAAAAAAATTTTTTTAATTTTTTCAATTTTTTTATTTTATTTTTTTCATTCACAACAAACACACACATAAATAATTTTAATAATGTAAACTATAGCATATCTAATCAATAATAATAATAATTTTAACAAAACTGAAATTTGTTTAAAACCTTTCGAGATTAAGTTGGTAAATTAATATATTTTAAAACAACAACAACAACAACAACAACAAACCCACACATATAGAAATTGGCATTGTTGAAGAAATATAGAAAATAGAAACAGAATTACTAATAATTTAATATTCAAAAGACAGATTTACCAATTAAAACCATTCAATACCCTAACAGGATCTGCTATCATCGATATCATGAATGAAAGGATTTTAATCAATTATATAAAGATTTAGCCAATGTTTACCAAATGCACAGCGAACCTACTAAAAGAGATTTTATAATATTCACAAGTAGTAATAATACCAATCAAACCACGAACTATTGCTCAATAATAATAATAATAATCTCAAAATTAATAGCAATAACTATCATAAAAAGTCACAAAGTCGCAGAAACTCAAATTCTTTCAATCTCGGGTAAATCAGCAAAATTCAAATCAATTGAAAGTTCGTTTAAAAATTCAAAAACAACTTTCGCTGTTCAATCAGCAGGTGTAACAACTTTAATTGGATTAACATCATTTAAATTTAAATTCACATGTCAATCAATTGGTGGATTAACTATTGCAAATTCAATAGCTTGGATTACAACAAACAAAAACTGGATTAACAGCTGATTCAATTGCAACTGGTCAATCAATAACAGGATTAACAACTGCAAATATAATAGTAACTGGGCAAAGTGTAGGTGGTTTTACAACTGCAAATACTTTAGGTTTAACATTATTAAATTCACTAGGCCAATCAGTTGGTGGATTAACTACTTCAAATTCAATAGCTGACATAACAACAAGTAAAACAACTGGATTAACTACTGCAAGCTCAATTGAAACAGGTCAGTTAATAACTAGTTTAAAAACTTCAAATACAATTGGAGGTGGCCAATCAGTAGCAGGATTAACAACTTCAAATACAATTTGGTTTAATTTCGAGTGCAAATTCCGTTGCAGGTTTAACAACTGCAAATACAATTGGTGGTGGTCAATCAGTAGCAGGTTTAATAACTTCAATTGGGTTGACAAAGTGTAGGTGAAATGGTGCATCGAGTGTTTTCATTTCAGGTGTAAACTCTGTAGCAGGATTAACCACATCAAATACAATTGGAGGTAGTCAATCAGTAGCAGGTGTAACAACTTCAAATTTAATTGGATTAACATCGTTGAATACAATAGGTCAATCCGTTAGGAGTCTTACAACTATATATTTAAATATCGAATTAAAGTCATCTATATAAAAATAATAATAGAATTTACTCAGTAAATCAATAACCAGTCTTCAGTTATTAAGAAAGCTAATATTAAAACATTTTATAATAATTAATAGTTAAAATCAATAGTGCTAAACCAGAGGCGGTCCTCGTCAAGTGCTAACAGTAACACCCAAATATCACCAACTTATTATCATATGATTTCTTTATTTCATTCGGGTTTTAAATTTTTATTTTCTTATGGATTTAAATCGTCAGTTAATTTTCACACCAGTTTTATTTAAGCTAATTTTTAAAATAAACATTACAAATAATACTTTTAAATAAAATAATTTTAATATAATTTTATATATTTATGTACTTATAATTTTATTTAAAACACCCAATATATACATTGATAAATTAAAGTTAAATGTTAATTATGGAAAAAAAAAAATTAAATTAATCTTTATTAATTTTTTTTTGAATTTTAAATTTTGAATCTATTATTTTGATGTTCATCTACAGAACACATAGAAGTAACTCTGTAAAATAGGTATTATCTGTTTTAATAAGAATTTTTTTATAATAAAGTATAAAAACTGTGTATGACTCAAAGTCTGATAATATATTTGTTCTTCCTGATTCACAGAGTTATATATAATAAAGCTTTGAAACTTGAATGATTTGCTGTTGTTTAAAACCTTGTACCCATCTTTTTGAAATCTTTTCTAAATTGACCTAATAAAATTAACCTGTATCGACTGATCCTTTTTTAAATTTTTTGGTTGAATATAAAAAAGTAATTATTATTATTATAAAAGTACATTCAATAAATGATGATAAATTTAATAAAAAAAAAAATTAAAAATTAAATTTTTTTTATTTTTTTTAATTTTTTTTATTTTCTAAAAATAATTCTGCACCATAAACATTATTTTATTATAAACAAAATAAAAATAAAATAACAATATTTATATTATAATGTCCTTCATTAATATATATTAAGCCAAATACTAAGAAAGGTAAGGTAAATAATTACACATACTATTTCTAAAATTGTTTTATATATAATATTATACTAATTAAAAATAAAATACAATAACTAAATTACTACACATAGACGTATCACCATTAAATAGAGCATATCAACGATAAAGACACACCATCAAACCAATTGATTTATGAACAGTCTTCAAGAAAGAATAATTACGATATCAAATATTTTAAAACCCAATAAAAGAATGTTTGTGCATTTTCATTAAATTCAAATTTCAGCAAATTCTAAAAGTTCAACTATTTAGAATCCATTGGTGTCAATTTAAATATACTATATTATCTTTAAAATTTAAATCAGTTCATTAAAACTATCGAATGTTAATTTGGTGGATGTTTTAAAGTTTGCAGGATCCAAATCAAAAAGCCTATTGGTCTTACAGTATCAAATATTGTTTGAAGTGTAGGTTTGCATAAAAGGTATCTATGGGCATCACAGACCTGTTGTTTTAAAAAAAAAGAGAAAAACAAATTATCTTTTTTTTTACAAATACAAAATCTGTCAAATTTTTTCTTTTTTTTTTTTTTTTAATTTTTTTATTTTTTTATTTTTTTATTATAACCATATGTCACATTCTTTTACAAAATATTTTTTTATTATTGCCATATGTCACATTCTTTTACAAAATTAGCATTTTGGAATCATTAGAAACCGATATTTTTATAAAAAAAATTTTAAAAAAACCTGGTAAAAAGATATTTTTATAAAAAAATATATTTTGATGTCAAATTTTTAGGATTTTCGATTATAATAAAAATAAAGATTAAAACTGGTTAAGAAAATAATATTTCAAGTAAATAAAAAAAAAGTATAAATAGAAAAAAAACTTTATTTAATGAATTAAAAAATAAAATAAAAACAAATAATAAAAAATAAATATTATATTAACAATAAACTATTTTATTAATTATCAATACTTCTTATCTAAAATGAAATTATTACTATCTTTAATTTTAATTGTTGCTTTATCAAGTTCTTTTATCAATGCTTTCAAGATGCCACCCAAAGGCATTAAAGATGTTGATTGTGCCGCCAAGATTTCTAGTTTAAGTGGATATAACACTTGGTTTGATGTAGTATCAGCAAATGGAGTATATCAAAATGGGGACCAAGAGGGACAGGCTTCATTTTATGAATCTGGTTATGTCTCTGTAGACTACGATAACAATCAAGTATATGTCATGTTTGGCCTTAATATCGATGGCAATGATGTAGTAGGTAAAACTTGGTTATATTCAAAAAATGTAATTATCCAAACATATAATTTAAAAAAAAAAACAATGTTCTAATGTTTTTTTTAAAATAGCAAACCCAATATGTAATAGTTGATGGTCAAACTTGTATTAAAGTTCCATTTACCTCAGGAACTCCAGTAACAAATGAGTTTACTAAAGTTGGTGAAATTAATCTTGGTATGATCAATACCCAAATCCTCCAACCAACAACCTCAGACTCACTAACTATTCAAGAAATTTTTGTTGAAACTCAATACTGTTCACCAATAGCTTCTAAAATTGCTAATGCCCCAAATAAAACACCAGGTTCTACAATAATGAATTTCTACAATTACCAAAACACTGTTGCCCCAGCAGATTTTGTATTGCCAGCCGAATGTTCTGATTTAAATTCAATCAAACTCTCATCTCACAAGTTAATTAAACCATACCCAAAATTCTTAAATCAATTGTTTTAAATAACAATTAAAAAATTATTTAAAATATTAATATTTAATATTTTTTATATTAAAACTCATTAAATAAAATTTTTATTTAATCATTTAAAGAATTATAATGTTTTTTCTCTTTTTAAAAGCTCTCTCATATTGAGAATATAAATGGATGTGTTTTATTTTAAACTAAATTTAGATTTGTTGTTTTTTTAAATTATTTATATTATTATTTTTAAATTATTAATTTTTTAATAAATTTTATTTTATTTTATTTGTAATAAAAATGAAAAAATAAAACCCCTTTTAGAATATTAAATAAATAACAATATTTTTATTTTTAAAATTAAAAAATTAGTTTTGTTAATATTTAATAATAATTAAAATTTTAAAATGTATTTAATAAACACATTTAGTAAAAAAAAAAAAAAAGAAAAAAAAAAGATTTAAATTTATTTAAATGAACATCAAAGCAAAAAAAAATAAAAGAAAGTAAAAATTAAAGTTTTATTATTATTTTTTTTAAGAATTTCTTCTATTTCTTTTATAATTTCTTCATTTTCCTCAATTAAGGCAGCGAGTTTCAATTCTAATAACTCATTTTCTTTTTCAATTTTTTCTAATTGAGATTTATATATTCTACTAATTTCTTTAAAGTTTCTTTTTTCAGCTGTAAATTTATTTTCTACTATTTCATAGCTGTCTTGAGCGTTTTGAAGGAATTACTCCAATTCTATTCATCAACATCAAAGTGTTGGGAAGATTGAAAATTGTTTAAATATCAGCACATCTTTATAATAGCAACTGTTTGAAAAATCAAAGTAAATTCAAGAGGACAAGTAGTGATTCAAAAAGGTTGTTGTTATAATGCTAAGAATAATAAAATTAAAAAGATAGAGATGAGGCAATTAAAACTTTAGAGAATGAGTTTTTAACTGGTCAGTCAAAGACGACAATATTACCGAAATTAAATCAATTGAAAGAGAAATTTAAAGAAAACAAGGAAATACCTAAAAATGCTGATGTGGATTTTTTGAAAGAACAAGGAATGAAATTTAAATAGATATAGAAAAGATAATAGAAAATTATACAAAAGAAATAGAAAATAAGAAATGAAATTATAAATCAAATAAAAAATATAATGAAGTAGTCAAAGCATTAGTAATGGTGAAAATCCATCAGTAATGTCGGCAGAATATGAAAAAAATACATAACCAAATAATATTTCAGAAGAAAACAAAATTTTGTAAAATTTAAAATAAAAATAAATAAAAAATATAAAGCTTTAATTTTATTATTTCTTTAAAAAGATGAATGAGTTTTAGCTATCATTTTCTTCTTTGTGTTGTTCCTAATAAACAGAAATACATGATTCGGATTCTAAAACAGAAATACATGATTCGGGTTCTAAAACAGAAATACATGATTCGGATTCTAAAACAGAAATACATGATTCGGATTCTAAAACAGAAATTTATTTGTGTTAGTAATTCATATATTTTCCTTTTTTATTCAACGAATCCCATTTCTAAATAGATTTGATGTTTTTGATAATGTTTTTATTTACTTACTTATATTTAAAGGTTTTTAAAAGTATTTCAATGCACCCGTGTCTATAAGAGATCTAACCAAAATTATTATTTTTTTAATTGTTGATCTAGTTGATTACTACATTCATCTAGGGTATTATCGAAGTGTTGGAGAAGATTTGAATATTGTTCCATAAGTTGTTTATTTTCAATTTCTTCTTCACTTGTTAGAACACTTAGACTTCCAAATGAATTTACCAAATCATCTAATTGGTCAGAGTCTTCGAGTTGGTGGTCGTCTTTTTCCCAACTCTCTACTTGGGTGATGCTTTTTTTGGTAAATAATTTACCAAAACGAAAAGTTGAATAAAAACCAATGGCACAAACTAAAAATAAAAAAATATACAAAAATAAAAAATAATCCATTTTTTTTTACAAAAATAAACAATTATTTATAAATTATATACAAATAAAAATAATAATTATTATTTACAAATAAAAATATTAAAGATATAAAATAAATTATATACAAATAAAAATAATAATTATTATTTACAAATAAAAAGAAATATAAAGATATAAAAAACAATATATTATTTTAAATGAAAGCGATTGTAAAAAAATATGAAGCTGATGGATGAAAAATTATATGTGTGGTGTGAAAGCAATAATTTTTAATGAATAAAAAAAAAAAAAAATTTAATAGTCTATTTTTTAAAATTAAAAAAAAAAAAAAAAATTAATAAAACAATTAAAAAAAAATAAAAAAAAACAAAAAAACAATTGTTTATTTTATAATAAATTATTATAATTTATAACTAATGAATTTAATTATATAGAATAGTTTCAGCCTTATCTTTTTCATAAAATTTTAGATTGAAAATATTAATTAAATCTATTTGTTTGATTTAAAAATTTCATTAAATTCTCTCTCTATTGATATCCAAAATACATAGGTAAACTTTTACATTTAAAAAAAAGATTTGAAAAAAAAAAAGATTAATTAATTAATTCATTAAATCAATTTAAAATTATAATTATTTTATTAAAAATAAATTAATTTAAAATTATTCTAAAAAATTTAATTTTTTGTTTATAAAAATATTTTTTATTTTTTATTAATTTTTTATTTATCACTTTATTCATTATATTTTATCCTTCAGTAGAGGTAGTCTTTAAAACTAAAACTTACATAGTTGTATTTAGTTTCCAATATTGTTTAAGAAAAAAATTCTATTAGTCAACTTATACCATCATATCTTTTTTATTTTTAACATAGTGTTTTTTTCAAATTAAAGGTAAATATTTAAAATTATTTTCAATAAATAATATAAATAAACAAACTAATTTTATTTAAATATTATAGAATATATCCTAAATTAGAGAAAAGATCCAACATGGGCTGAAGGTTTGATCTCTGCTGTTAAAGCTTCGTCAATTCAAGAAATTGTCGGTGGGACTGAAAAGGCTTATTGTAAACTCTAAAGCTGTCACTGCCGCTACCCTCAACTTGGTTCCGCTTGTTAATCTGATATCACAACATAAAGTAACAAATGCTTAGCAACCTCTTCTTTAGACTCATTCCAATCCCCACTTCCATAATTTTTAGTATTACCAAATACTTCACTACAATTAAAAAAAAAAAAAAAATTTTGTTATAATTATTAAAATTAGTTTAATTTTAAAAAAAAATAATATAAATAATTTAAAAAAACAACAAATCTAAATTTGGTTTAAAATAAAACACATCCATTTATATTCTCAATATGAGAGAGCTTTTAAAAAGAGAAAAAACATTATAATTCTTTAAATGATTAAATAAAAATTTTATTTAATGAGTTTTAATATAAAAAATATTAAATATTAATATTTTAAATAATTTTTTAATTGTTATTTAAAACAATTGATTTAAGAATTTTGGGTATGGTTTAATTAACTTGTGAGATGAGAGTTTGATTGAATTTAAATCAGAACATTCGGCTGGCAATACAAAATCTGCTGGGGCAACAATGTTTTGGTAATTGTAAAAATTCATTATTGTAGAACCTGGTGTTTTATTTGGGGCATTAGCAATTTTAGAAGCTATTGGTGAACAGTATTGAGTTTCAACAAAAATTTCTTGAATTGTTAGTGAGTCTGAGGCTGCTGGTTGGAGGATTTGGGTATTGATCATACCAAGATTAATTTCACCAACTTTAGTAAACTCATTTGTTACTGGAATTCCTGAGGTAAATGGAACTTTTATACAAGTTTGATCATCAACTATTACATATTGGGTTTGCTATTTTATAAAAAAAACATTAGAACATTGTTTTTTTTTTAAATTATATGTTTGGATAATTACATTTTTTGAAAATAACCAAGTTTTACCTACTACATCATTGCCATCGATATTAAGGCCAAACATGACATATACTTGATTGTTATCGTAGTCTACAGAGACATAACCAGATTCATAAAATGAAGCCTGTCCCTCTTGGTCCCCATTTTGATATACTCCATTTGCTGATACTACATCAAACCAAGTGTTATATCCACTTAAACTAGAAATCTTGGCAGCACAATCAACATCTTTAATGCCTTTGGATGGCATCTTGAAAGCATTGATGAAAGAACTTGATAAAGCAACAATTAAAATTAAAGATAGTAATAATTTCATTTTAGATAAGAAGTATTGATAATTAATAAATAGTTTATTGTTAATATTTATTATTTGTTATTATTTTTTATTTTTTAATACTTTATATAAAGTTTTTTTTCTATTTATACTTTTTTTTTATTTACTTGAAATATTATTTTCTTAACCAGTTTTAATCTTTATTTTTATTATAATCGAAAATCCTAAAAATTTGACATCAAAATATATTTTTTTATAAAAATATCTTTTTACCAGGTTTTTTTAAAAAAATTTTTTTAAAAAAATATCGGTTTCTAATGATTCCAAAATGCTAATTTTGTAAAAGAATGTGACATATGGCGATAATAAAAAAATAAAAAAAATAAAAAAATAAAATAATAAAAAAATAAAAAAAAAAAAAAAAAGAAAAAATTTGACGGATTTTGTGTTTGTAAAAAAAAAGATAATAGTCATATGATAGTTTTAGAACAATCAAATCTGTTATTGTAAA